ATAGAGATAGAGATAGAGATAGAGATAGAGATAGAGATAGAGATAGAGATAGAGATAGAGATAAAGATAGGTAGTTGGGTAATTAGGTAGAGATATATTTACTTAATCCTATATAATATTGGCTGTGTCTGTGTATATACACATACAATCCTTGAGGGCTGATATCACAATCCACACACACATGTGGCTTATGCCATATATATATATGGTATATATATAAAACAGTAAAAATATTGGGTTTCTGTCGTGATGGACTCTTGTGACGAGCCGATTGACAGATAATGGAAGCAGTTAGCTTCCTCCCATAATTGGGGCATACCAGGGGTTGTGACACTAAATATATATAGCTACCTAGATTAGCATAACTCTGAAGAACGACCCACTGATTTGCTCTTGTGGGATGATGTGTTTTTCTGCATCAGATTTGCTTTTCTATCAATACAGTTAGTTAATTAGTCCAGGCAACACAAGTTGCTTCAGTTCAAAGTTTTTATCAAAGCCTTGTCTAATTGAAGCACTTCTTTGAAGCTTTGCAAAGTTCTAGTTCCTAGTTCTTTATTTATTAATAAATAATATATTTATACCCTCACAGTCTTTACAGAATAAGCTAAGTAAAAACTGAACTAAGGATAGAAAATACATTAAAACAGAATAAGGGTGGAAGCAGAACAATCCATACCTCTATACCAGGCATCTGCAACCTTAAATATTTAAACAGACATTTGGACCACCAATTTCCCACAAAAAAGATACTACTGGGAGCCACAAAACCTGAGTGAGCATGGCCAACTCAACATCACTCACTTCCACCCAGTCACATGACTTCCTAGCCATGCCTACCCAGCCAGTCATTAGGGCAGAAAACAGTTGTTAAAAAAACAGTGGCAACCACAAGACCCTTTTGACCTCCCTCCCTCCCTCCGTCCCTCCCTCTCTCTCTCCCGTCTCTCTTCCCCCTCTTTGTATCTCTTTCTGTGTGTCCTTCTATGTCTCTCTCACCCCCTCTCCCTCTCTCTCCCTCTCTGTCCCTCTCTCTCCCTCTCTGTCCCTCTCTCTCCCTCTCTCTTGTCTTTCTTCCCGCTCTTTGTATCTCTTTCTGTGTGTCCTATCTCTCTCTCTCCCTTTCTCCCTCTCTCTCCCTCTCTCTCTCTCTTGTCTCTCTTCCCCCTCTCTGTATCTCTTTCTGTGTATCTTTCTATGTCTCTTTCCCCCTCTCTTTTTTTCTCCCCATTACTCCCTCTCTCCCTTACTATCTTCCCCTCTCTCCCCATATTTCTGTATCTCTCTGTGTCTCTCTCTCCATCGTCTCTCTGCCTCTCTCTGTATATCTCCCTCTGTATCTCTCTCTCACTCTCTATATATCTCTCTCACCCCTTTCTCCCTCTCTATCTCTCTATCTCATCTCCCCCTCTCTGTATCTCTCTGTGTGTCTAACTCTCTCTTTTCCCTCTCTTTCCGTCCCTCTCTCTGTCTCTCTCTCTCTCTTTGTGTGTGTGTGTGTGTGTGCGCGTGTGTGTGTGTGCGTGCGTGTGTGTGTGTGTCTGTCTGTCTGTGTTTAAGGGGCAGTATTGCATTGTGGCTCCATGTCATAATGGGTTGCAAAAAGAGGGGATCCTACCTCCCCCATTATGAAGTGCACTAAATTTCTGTCATGAAAATGAAAGCAGGATCCTCAAGCAAAGTGACAACCTCATTGTGCTGTGGAAAAAATGAATTCCCACTGACATTCCTTTTTTGCCAGTTGAATTCTTCTTTGCTGTATGAAACCACTTTTTTGCCAGCTGATTCTGTGTTGGCAAAGATAAATCCCAGGAAAACCATACAACCAAAAATAGGAATAGATAGGGGAGGAGAAAAAAGGAATAGAGATAAATTACACCATATTCAAATCAGACTAGAAATACCTCCACAATGCTTACTCCAGCTGAGGATATGTTAGAAATAATGCTTTGTTTTATTCAATACATTAAATACCCAATGAAGTTAATACAGCCCAAACACTATATCTGGACCCAGTTTCTATGTGAAACAGCAGTCTTTTTAGGGTTTCCTTTTATATTTAAAATGTTTTTAATTTTAAATTTTAATTATATCTGATTTCTCAAACTACAAAAGAGTATATCTAGAAATAATAGAGAGACAAGAAAAGTCTGTTTCCTTCTCTGTGTTCACAGAGAATACTGAACCACACATCAAATCCGAAATCTTATTTTGGAGAATATACATACATTTTACTGTGACATCATAATGTTAGCATTATTACACATGTACATTTTGATAATGTGTGTTAGGAGTAGGCATAAGTAGTATAGATATATTACGTACCTCTAGATAGATAGTTTGATATAATAAAATACTTGGCAAATTATAATACAGAAATGGAACTGTGTTAATACATGCTGCATTTTGTCTTTTTCAAGATCATTGAGAAGTGTACCTAGCATTTGTTTGATGAACTGTAAGGAATGACTGTCTAAACTTCTTAATCTAACAGATGGCTGTCATTATGAAACTGAACCAGCTGCACATCTTTTGCAGCTATTTATGGACCCCAATTTTGAATAAATACTTTGGGCCACATGGATTCTAATTTTCAGCTTTTCTCATATAAACTATTCTCAGTTCTAGTGATTAAACCAATCATTTTGCAATACAAACACTGTAATGCCATTTTTGATTTTTTTTTTCTCTTCTGGTTTTCCAAAGGTTATGTAATTAAAAAACTGCTTTGCTAATTAATAACAGATGTTTACATAACATCTATTTTTGAAAGTCTTTTCAGAAGAAACAAGTTTTGGAATGGATACCTATCTTCAAAGTGACTCCCATCAAGGTAAAATAACTTGGATAATTTTATTTTTTTTATCTGCACAGTTTTATAACTATTGCAACCATATAAACTAAACATTTAAAATGAAATAAATTTTATTAGAAAATGATGTGGTATATTTTTGGACCATTTTCTTTTATAAGTCTTTTAAAAATGTATCACAGAACTGGTACAATAACCTAGAGTAACATTTTAAAAGTTGGAATTTAATCTAGGCTAATTATGCTGTAAACTCCCATTATACAAACCAAGGAATAAAGTGAGCAGAGAATATAATATAATATTAGTGATGTGGTTTTTTAAATGATGAGACAGATATTTTCATGCAGCTTGGTAATGTTTCACCACCATCGTCACCACTGTTTTAACTTTGAAGAGGTACACTACATCTTGCTTTCTCAGGGAGAGAATGTACAATCAGCTGACCTCCCCCAGCTGAGTTCATTCTTTCTTACTCACTTTCCTGTTGAAAATGCAGTGGTAAAATCAACATCTGAAGTGATAAATCAATCCCTAGTTGGTTTCCTCTGTAATGCTGAACTAGCATTGTTCCAAGCCATTGTTGAATGAAGGAAGACAAACACATGAAGAATAAGATGATGATGATAATGATGATGATAATGATGATATCGATGATGAGGATCATGATCATGATGATCATGAAAAACAGGAAAAGACATTTGCAGTTTTTTTTTCATCCTGATGGGTAAGAAAAATTGAGATATAAAGAAATGTTCCCAGAAGAAAATGTATTCTAAGAAATTTTGGCTCAGTCATAATTGGAGCTAACTGATCAAAACTGAGATGGGGCCAGAGGCTTCTGAGAATGGAATTTCAGGCACCATCTGGGGAAAAAGAGAAGGAAAGAGAAAACAAGCATTACAAATAAAAATGTAATTAAATTGCTGTGATAAGCAGTTGCAAAACATGCTTTCTTCCTCTGCATGTTTGGACCTGAAATTCTTGACATCTGTGGCCCCTACTCCAGCTTGCAAAACACAGTTTGTGTTGCTGACATGGAAGAAATCTTAGTTAATGCTACTTACCATTGTTTGGTTTTTTCCAAAGAAATATCAACAGAGTTGCTTAAAAAATAACCCTCCTGTTGTTTCACAGAAATTGTGCAAGTTTATTTGAATTAGAAACAATTTCATTAATATGCCTTTGTTATTTAGTTATACACAGTTTCTTTTATATATCCAAGCCAACTATCTTAAAGCTATTGCTTGTTTAAACATTCCTTTTCTCTTTATTTTTATTTTAGCCAGAAGGTTGCTGCTGACATTGCACATTTGGTCAGAGAATTTTAGGATGTAGCAATAGCAATAGCACTTAGACTTATATACCACTTCACTTCACTTATATACTACTTCATATAAGTCTACTCCCTCTCTAATCCCTCTCTAAGAAATTTATAGTGTAAACATATTGCCTCCAACTATCCATGTCCTCATTTAACTGATCTCGAAAGGATGGAAGGCTGAATCAACCTTGAGCCAGAGAGACTCAAACTGGACAAGCTGTGGGCACTCAGCAGAATTAGCCTGCAGTACTGTGTTTTAACCACTGTGGCACCAGGGCTCTCAATATTTCAAAAGTGCTTTTTCAAGAGACAACTGGACTTTCTTATTTTTCTTTGAAGACATTTTGCTTTTCATCCAAGAAACGTCTTCAGCTCTTCAGAAATAAAGTCCAATTGCCTCTTGAAAAAGCACCTTTGACACAACCAGCCTCTGGATGACTGACAATCTCCATAGGCACAGCACTCAATGTAGCTCTAATGAAAATCACAAATGGTCCACCAAGGGGAAGGGAACTGACATTTTTTGGAGTTAAAATTAGTTGATCTTCTGGGAACTCAAAATTAACCTGTCCTGTTCTTTTCAACAGTACATTAACTTATCTAATTTAGTCTGTCCCATGTTTATTAGGATAGAGTATTTATCAGGCTAGAATAGGATAGGAGGATACTTGCTATATTTCTGAAAGACCTGATGATTAAGCACATAGTCTTTGAACAGGTTATTAGAACTTACCATATTTTTGGAGTATAAGATGCACCTTTTTTCCTCTAAAAAGAAGCTGAAAATTTGGGTGCGCCTTATACACTGAATACAGCATTTTTTGCCTCCTGCAGCCCCGCCCCTTCACCAAAATGGCTGTGCATATCCTTATGAAGGCTTTCAGAGAGTTCCTGGGGGCTGGGGATGGCAGAAATAAGCAAAAAATGGGTCGTTTCTCCCCCCAGCCCCCAGCAGCACTCTATAAGCCTCCATAAGGCTATGCATGTATTTTTTAAACAAAAAAATGGCCCGTTTCTGCTCTTCTTTGCCCCCCGCCCCAGGAACACTCTGCAAGTCCCCCCAAGGCTATTTATGCTTTTTATTTGAAAAAAAAGGGCCCATTTTCACAAAAAATGGGGCATTTTGGGGAGGATTGCAGAGTGCAAAACCTTTTTTTTCCTTTTGGAAAGCTGTTTAGTTAGAATGTTGGATGAGTTTTAGGCACTACAGGTTGTCAGCGATTTCCTTCTCCAGCACATGGATAAATACACCTAGAAACATCTACCTATTTACCTACTCTCTCTCCCTATCTACTTTATTTCTCTCTCTCTCTCTATTTCTCTCTCTCTATCTATATCCCTTTATCTACCTACCTACCTACCTACCTACCTACCTACCTACCTACCTACCTACCTACCTACCTACCTACCTACCTACTCTCTCTCTCCCTACCTATNCCATCTATAAATGGCTGTGTCTGTGTGTGTGTGCATAACTCTGGAATGTCTTGAACAATTTCAACCAAACGATGTCTTACCAGATGACTTACTCTCTGGAAACAAATATTGTGAGGGTAAGATA